GTGAGGTGTTTTCTGTGTCATCATGGAGGCTGTGGATCTCTCTGCCTACAGAAGTTGGTTGCCCCTCTCACTTATTAAACTTCAGGCAAGTGTTTAAACCCTTTTCATTTTGCTCAACTACTTGTATCCCTATTTCATGTCCCTGTGGTCATGCTGAATTGTTTTGCCCTGTTCTTGGTTTTAATGTATGTAATTTATTTGAGTAACCTGCTGTGCATTTATTGCAATTTGAATGGCTTTGTAACTTGTAGTGTTTTATGCTTTCTCTGTAAGCCATGTTGGGTTTATCTTACATACTTTTTAAGCAGATATACAAAATGGGGTAAGACAAAAATTCTTGTGGCGGTCGGTGGTTGCACAATTCTGAGTTTCTGTGCATTTTGGTGTGCTAGTAGCTCAAGGGGGCTGCATTGTCCTCACAGTTGAAGGAAAGAAACCTTTACCTTTCCCCTTAGAGCTGTTGTTTTACTCATGTGCAAATTAAGCCTTTCCTCAATCAACTAAAACTCAAAGGACAATCGAGTTAGACTTCTTTGACTGGGTGACATTCCTGCTGTTTACACTTTGAATTATTTACATTTGCAGCTGTTGCCATATAAAAGGGTCTATACCTGTATATTGGCCTACAGGTCATAAATCAATGTGCAGATTAAAAGGAAGGTAGAAATAAGATGACCCTACCTGGAACATTTCTGAAAGATATCTTCTGTGTATTAAAGCAGAGCGGTGGGGAATCTTTCCCCTCACCTATTACCGCACTATCGCTAATTGAAGATGTCACTTTCCTGATGATCATCGTTTGGCAGAGAACCAGCCCCAGCGCTAGCAAGCCCTGCTGCTGTTGCGAAGGAAGCAAATTGATACACAGCCGTTGAGGTGTGAGCCTCTGTTGCTGGATGGGTAACCTAATTCCCTTTCATTACAGACAAAGGGTTTAAACATTTGTTTCATGTACCTGCCTGCAGGTTTTTGTGCACTTTTAATGAATTTCCAAATGGAAATGGCATCATGACAACCGGTTAAGGGCTAACACAGTGCTTCTCAAATGCAGGGCTATGAAATACAGATGCAGACCCTCTGAGTCCTGGATTTACAGAAGCTACCCTTTTCCTTAGAATGTCCCTATTTTCATCAGAGAAATGTTGGAAGGGATGCAGGTCAACCCAAATCTGTTCCTCTGGCTCCTCAACTCTCATTTCCAGGCCTGCCTTCCCCCTTTAAGCAAGGGTGGGAAACTTCAGGCCCAGGGGCCAATTGTGGCCTTCCAGGCCTCTCTACCTGGTTCTTTGGACTTTCCCCAAGCCACCCACCCTCTACTACCTTTGGCCTTTAGTCCTACCTGCAGCTGGCATGTCGCCTTCAGAAGGTTTCCCAGAATGGAATACAGGTCTCTGGCTGAACAAGATTCCCTGTCCCTGCCATTATGAGAAAGTCTTCATTCCTTCCATCCTATATGTGGGATGGATGAGGTTACCGTTGGGTGGGCTTGTAGCTAATTGACTTGGGATCCAAAGAATGCTCACTAATCAAGGGAAGTCATCGTCTTGCTCTGTTCTGCTTTCATCAGACCATACCTGGAGTACCATATCCAGTTCTGGGCACCACAATTTAAGAATGATATTACAAGCTGGACCGTGGGTGACCAAGATGATCACGGGTCTGGAAACCCAAGCCTTATGAGGAACGGTTGAGGGAGCTGGGTATGTTTAACCTGGAAAAGAGGAGACTGAGAGGAGATAGGACAGCCATCTTCAAATGTCTAAAGGGCTCTCAAATGGAAGATGGAGCAAGCTTGTTTTCTCTTGCTCCAGAGAGTAGGACCCAAACCAATGGCTTCAAGTTACAAGAAAGGAGATTCCACCTATACATCAGGAAGAACTTTCTGCCAATGGAGCTGTTCAACAGTGGAACAGTCTTCCTCAGGAGGTAATGGACTCTCCTTAATTGGAGGTTTTTAAGCAGAGGTTGGATGGCCACCTGGCATGTAGGACCTAGTTGAAATTCCTGCATTGCAAGGCATTTGACTGAATGACCCTTGGAGTCCCTTTGAACTCTGCAGTTCTATGATTCTATTATTCTAACCCCAATTACCACCGCCAGAAACCTGGTGGTGATAATAATCACCTATTAACAAGAAGCCTTTAAATGAACCAACCAGGTCTGCAAGCTGAACTGCATGAATAAATTACAGCTGCAAGCCTACTTATCCCTGCAATGAATGGCTCTAGCTCTCAACTTCATTTGTAAGAGGTTCTGGAATCCCAGCAGGTTTGGTCGCCAACAGCACTTAATAGCTGCTTTGCTAGTTAGGCTTATGAAAGAACGAAAGGCAGTACATCTTTTCCAAGGCCACACGTTCATTATGTTAATGCATAAGATTGTAGAGATTAATAACAACAGTGATTATGCTTCACAACAGCAAAAGCATGGCAAGTTTTTAAAGTACCCACTGAGTTCCTGGTATTTAGCTATGCCAAGTTATTCAGATCAGTTCATGCAAGATGAAAACTCCAGACTCGAAACATTCATATAATTCAGAACCATTTCACACATTACAGAAACAATTAGAAACATTTCCGTTTTGAGCACTTTTTCCTACTGGATGAAGGTGTCTTTGCCTTAGATTCTCATTTTTGCATTATTATTACACTTGTTGTTGTTTAGTCGTTTAGTCGTGTCCGACTCTTCGTGACCCCATGGACCAGAGCACGCCAGGCACTCCTGTCTTCCACTGCTTCCCACAGTTTGGTCAAACTCATGCTGGTAGCTTCAAGAACACTATCTAACCATCTTGTCCTCTGTCGTCCCCTTCTCCTTGTGCCCTCAATCTTTCCCAACATAGGGTCTTTTCCAGGGAGTCTTATCTTCTCATGAGGTGGCCAAAGTATTGGAGCCTCAGCTTCAGGATCTGTCCTTCCAGTGAGCACTCAGGGCTGATTTCCTTCAGAATGGATAGGTTTGATCTTCTTGCAGTCCATGGGACTCTCAAGAGTCTCCTCCAGCACCATATTAGTACACTAGTGGCCAAAATTGTGGAAACCTTTTAGAGAAACGGAATTTCCAAGGTTTGATGGCTCATAACACCACTTTGTTTTGGAGTAATACCTTAAAATTATATATCAATGGAAAGATAATTTAATGAAGAATGTAATGCAACAAGGTTTGTTCAGTTATCTGTATTCTATCAAGTGTTATAGCCAAATAATGACAAAAGGAGTGTTTAGAGAGCCAATCAGGTGTCGTCTTGTTTTGACAATGATAATTGAACAAATCTTGTTGAATTCGAGCCTTAGAACCATTTTTGGCAAATGAATGGGGCAAAACACTTAGGTGAATCACGGAATGCTCAAGCGTTCTTCAACTGATGTACTTGGACAACAACTCACATCGTTCCCAATCATTATCAAACTGCCTGGGAATGATGGACACTGTAGTCCAACAACATATGGGACTCAAGGTTGAAGAACACCGGGCTATTCTATTGATGCCACACACACACACACACACACACCATGGAAATCAAAGCTGTGCACTGCAATCATCAATGCACACCTTGTCTGGATTCACCAACGTATGGCCTCTTCTCATTTTGATAACCATAATTCAGGTGTTGTCTTTTAACAACTTGGACTCAACATCTTCACATTTGAGGTTGCCTGTTTTTGGATGAAGAACACCATGGAAAAGTCAAAACTTTTGGTTTCTTTACTGCCTGTGTTTAGGAGGGCTGTTAGAACATTTCTCTTTAATTGGGCTTTTCTGCCCTTCTGCTGTGAGTTTTACTGTTGTCTATCATTAGATGATGTTTTATAGTGTTACACCATACGCGGCTCTGATCTCCCTAGGGAGGAGGAGCGGGAAACAAACAAACAAACAAACAAATATAACACATCTACCAAAGAGCAGGGTTCAATTTGTCATCTGCCAGCTTGGTGAAAATGATATGCCAATTATTTTTTTATATGTGTTCGGAAAGTTGTGGATCTCTGAATTAACATATTGTTATGATCCATCAAGTCCTGTTAAAAGACCGAAGAAGTGTCAGAGCTTTATTGTCGGCAGGGAGAAATTGGCCTGGGATGTGTGGATCACGTCTGCCAGGGTGGGGACTGGCAGGAGTTGTTCTTGTTATTAATAAAAATATATATTGGTCACTGTTTTCAGGGGCGGGGGTAGAACTCAGAGCAATTTACAAATAGCATTAAAAAAAAACAAGTGTGAAAACAAGAGCAGTACAAGCTAAAAGACCATCCAAATGTCTGAGGAAAAACAAGAATGGTTTTGCTTGGCACCTAAAAGCAGATAGTGATGGAACCAGCCATGCTCCCCTGGAGAGAGTATTCCATCAATGGGGAGCCACCACTGAGAAGGCCCATTCTCACTTTGCCACCCTCTGCACCCTTCTTGGAGGGGACACACAGAGAAAAGCCTCAGATGGTGAGGGCAAGGTCAGAGTTTGGATGGGGATCCCACAAAGGAATGGCCAAATCCAACAGTTGTGGCTTCTCTCCATTTCCAATTTTTCCATTCTTAAGCTCAGTTCTGCTCCTTTGCACATCACTTTGTCCTTTTTTAAGTTCTCATGAAAGTTCGTCAACATTTCAGTGCAGATTTCTTCTGATACATTTGCATCGGTCTCATTTGTATGCAACTTTTCCTACTATCAACCCGTTTGCAAAACAACATTCACTAATATGTGTTTCTAGATTCAGGTAGGTAGCCGTGTTGGTCTGACACAGTTGAAATAAATAAAAAAATTGTCCAGTAGCACCTTAGAAACCAACTAAGTTTGTTCTGGGCACAGTGGTACCTCAGGTTAAGAACTTAATTCATTCTGGAGGTCCGTTCTTAACCTGAAACTGTTCTTAACCTGAGGTACCACTTTAGCTTTTGGGGCCTCCTGCTGCCACCACCCGATTTCTGTTCTCATCCTGAAGCAAAGTTCTTAACCCAAGGCACTACTTCCAGGTTAGTGGAGTCTGTAACCTGAAGCGTCTGTAACCCCAGGTACCACTGTATAAGCTTTTGTGTGCATGCACACTTCTTCAGATATGAAAACACCATCGGTATCTGAAGAAATGTGCATGCACATGAAAGGTTATACCCAGAACAAACTTAGTTGGTCTGTAAGGTGCTACTGGACAATTTTTAAAATATATGTTTGTCTGTAATTTTCGTGAATAATTTTGTGAATTATTAATTTTCGTAAATACTTGCATGCAAATTTCACCCTAGGTATAATAATAATAATAATTTATTATTTATACCCCGCCCATCTGGCTGGGCTTCCCCGGCCACTCTGGGCGGCTCCGGCCACTCTGGGCGGTATAGGCATTTTCATACCCATCACTTGGCTGCAGTACTGGACTGCAAAATTTGGAGATGCACAAATGTTGAAGGGCAGCTGCGTTCAGTTCACGTAGTTTTGGAAAATTAGGTAGGTTTGCCTTTGAGTGTGAACTGAACCAAATTTCTTCCCATCCCTATATCCAAGATAACCGATGCTGCTTTTGGAATACACAGAGTCTATGTGCTTGCTTGTGCAAGTCCTTAATAACTGCTCAGACTATACATGTTCAAATTAACTGATTATGACAGTGACACTGTCTTTCCTCTAAAGAAAATTGGTACTGTAAATGGAAAAAAAGAAAAGAATGTTTGGCTGTCTCGGCCTTTCTTCCTTATTATCTCTTATACAGATCATTGGTTCCCTTAAGTAGTATGGGGTACTGCAAATAAGTATTCAAAGGACTTTCAGTACGTATTGTTATTATTAATTCATTTCACTAATTTTATACATTTCACCAATTTTACAATCATTTTGACATTTCAAAACTTGACTTCCTTCCCCCTCTTTCTGCAGTTCCTTAAATTTGTTTTTAATATCTTCTGCATATCCAAATTAACTTTATTTGCTCATTTACTCATCTTCTTTAAAGATATACTCTTCTAAAACTACAATATTACAATATTCTTTCCAATGTTTTCATCTGTTTATCTGTAAATATTCAGCAAACCATTTGCAGTCTTTCATTTAAAAAATTCTTATCTTGATTTCTTATTCTTCCGGTAAATTTCACCATTTCTGCATATTCCATAAGTTTTTGTATCCATTCTTCCTTTGCTGGGACTTCTGCTTCTTGCCATTTTGGGGCAAGTAACATTCTTGCCACTGTAATAGCATACATAAATAAGTTTCTATACGTTTTAGGTAGCTCTGTCCCTATAATTCCCAAAATAAAATTCAGTGTGTATTTTTAATTTTTAAAAAATCAACCAATTTTGATTATTGCACACCCATTCACCATCTGAAGCCTTCCCTAGGGGTTCCAAAATGTGCCCATGCACAAAATAACAAGCTGCCATGAATAAACTTTTGACCTTGTGAAAAATAAAGATTAACCCACCTTTATGCAGGTGGTGCTGTGGGTTAAACCGCAGAGCCTAGGACTTGCTGATCAGAAGGTTGGCGGTTCGAATCCCCATGACGGGGTGAGCTCCCGTTGCTTGGTCCCTGCTCCTGCCCACCTAGCAGTTCAAAAGCACGTCAAAGTGCAAGTAGATAAATAGGTACCACTCTGGTGGGAAGGTAAACGGCGTTTCTGTGCGCTGCTCTGGTTCGCCAGAAGCGGCTTAGTCATGCTGGCCCCATGACCCGGAAGCTGTATGCCGGCTCCCTCGGCCAATAAAGCGAGATGAGCGTCACAATCCCAGAGTCAGCCACGACTGGACCTAATGGTCAGGGGTCCCTTTACCTTTACCTACAATGCTATATTGTGGTGATTTAATCTCCACAAATCTGCACTTTTTTTTGCTCTTCATTGTGCATTCTCCCTCAAGGGTGCTTCCTTAAAATCAAACTCCACGAAGCATCCTCCATGACATTTCCACCAACCTTTTATCCCCCAGTCATCTGGATACTACAGAAGGGGAAGGGGGAAGGAGTCTCCACTGTGCACTTTCTTGTCTTATCTTGCCATGACCTTAACTTGAACCTGGAAGTGATCCTTCTAAGTTCACTCCAGCTTGTTCTCTGCATGGCTAATGCCTAGGGCAGGTTTAACTCATACGCTAAGGATACTGTAAGAAAGGGATGGGCAGCTTCTGCAGATGACAGCCCTGAGGTCAAAAGTTGGGTTCCAGTTGGGTTCCAGATGTTCCAGTGCTTGCCAAGGGTTTGGTTTCCTTTGACTGACCCTCAGTAGAGACTGTGGTGCTTTTAGGATTAATAGTTTTATTTACAGCTGTGGGCTAAAACCACAGAGCCTAGGGCTTGCTGATCAGAATGTCGGTGGTTCGAATCCCTGTGACGGGTTTAGCTCCCATTGTTAAGTCCCTGCTCCTGTCAACCTAGCAGTTCGAAAGGACGTCAAAGTGCAAATAGATAAATAGGTACCACTCCGGCGGGAAGGTAAACGGCTTTTCCGTGCGCTGCTCTGGTTCACCAGAAGCGGCTTAGTCATGCTAGCCACATGACCTGGAAGCTGTCTGCGGACAAACGCCGGCTCCCTTGGCCAGTAAAGCGAGATGAGTGCCGCAACCCCAGAGTCATCCGTGACTGGACTTAAAGGTCAGGGGTCCCTTTACCTTTACTATATACAGCCTGGGAATAGGATGGAAGAGCTCACAACTTTAACACTCTAGCAGAACTTGCCTCCCCATTAGGTTCCCTGGGAGATCCCCAAGCCATACCTTTGGTTCCAGCACAGGGCAAGACAAGTCTCTGTGTCTCTAGCTTCCAACATTAGCCAAAGGAGCTCTCTCTCTCACACACAGAACACCTCACCAACTTAGCCTATTGTTCTCCATCCTAGAAGGGTGAGGTTGGGAAAGGTTTGCCCATTTGTTTCTATGGCAACAGGCCAACCACTTTGGCCAGCTCAGGCCATTGTCTTGAAAAGAAACTTGTCTGACCAGTCCTGTGGCCTCTTCTACTAAATCCCAAAACTCTTTGGTACAGAATCACAGTTCTGGAAGGGACCCACAGATACCTCCTGGACTGCCCGCCCCCCACAGCCTACTACAGTATGTTTTGTCACATAAACTCACAAACAAGTTGGTGCTATCAAGCAGTTAATGGCTTCACCTTTCAGGATGTGCACTTAAATATAGCATTTCACGAACGCTTGGTATATGTGTACCCCCAATTGTCCCCTGAAAGCAAAGACCATAGCTGCATGCTACGTTTTTTACTTGCATGGATCTCAAAGCTTGTATTGATAGAGATATGTGCGAAACATAACAAGTGAGTGCTACAGCAGACTTTTGAAAAACAGCCTGTGCTTTTCCTAAACGCTTCTAAAGAGATGGATTAACAGGATGTTAACTAGGACACCACTTGCGAGCTAGTTCTTGCCTGCCTATTTCTTCAAAGTTGCAAATGCGTCATAAACTACTAAACTTATAATAATAGCAGTTTCTGGTATGTTTTTGCAAATTATTCCTACTAGGATCTCTCTGTGGTGGGAATCGATCGTCCTGCATTTTGTTCTGTAATTGACGCTTTTTCTGCTGTAATGTGTCATTTGCCTTGGGGCTGACATCTCTCTCTGACATGACCTTTTTTTGTTTCCGTCATATGTCCCTTGCCATGTTTTTAAGACTTTAAATTATGGGCTGACACTGGATATATATGCACACACATATACATTGCATAAGTTCCGAGCCACTTTGTTCTATTGTCATTTGCTGAATTAGCAAGCTTTCTCTTTAAAGTTGTGTCGCTGAGACTGTGCTGGTCTAAGCAGCTTACAGCTTTGAACGTCAGGCCACATGACGTCCTCCATTGTCACTTTGCAGTCTTGCTCTTTTTGGAAATGCATATTACCCATGCTGCATATGATTATAGCAAAACCCAGTTTTCTGGAGAGCTGCAGATATTTGGATGAGTCATTGGAAATCTGTGCCTTTGCCCTTCCTCCTTTCCTCCTTTTTTCTGCAAAGACTTCTGTGCACTGATGTTTTCCTACCTCGGTCATTCCAGCTGCAGTTAATGGAAATCGAGTTGCCAACTGCTCTGATTTCTCAAGAGATCTGAGGGGATCATCATCATGTCCTGAATGAATTGCCCTGAGAGAAGAAAGGGAAATTCACTGCAGGTGAACTGTTGGAAAACCAAAACGAACAAACCAACACAAGCTATTAAAAGCAAGAGTCCAAAAGTTGCTCCCTTGGTGGGCTCTTGGTGGGCTGTTAGCTGCAATACCTGCATTGAAGGGGGTTGGAATAGATGACCATTTGGGTCCCTTCCAACTCTACAATTCTTCGACATTCCCATACATGTGTGCATCAAGTCATTAGTCATTCAGAGCAAGGGCTGTAGCTCAATAGCAGAGCATCTGTGTTGCATGAAAAAGGTCTCAGTTTCAGTCCCTGGCATCTCCAGGTAGGGCAAGGTGCGCCCCCTGCTGGAGACCTTGGGGAGATGCTGCCAGTCAGTGTTGACATTGCTGAGATAGATGGACCAATGTCCTGACTTGCTGTAAGGCAACCTATGTGCATTGGTTTGGATCCTAAGAATCGGTGAGCAGGGTTGTGGAAAAGATGTTCAGGAAGCCTGCTAATGGAAGGGAGGCAATTTTGGCAGGATTCATATTCACCCGCCCAACCCCCTGCAGTCACTGAACATAGGAAGCTGCCTTCTCTGAGTTATCTACCTCCATATTGTCCACATTGACAGGCAGTACCTCTCCAAGATTTCAGGCCAGTAACATTCCCAGCCATACATGAACCAAACTAGTTCATTTTGTAAAGGGATAAACTGGAACTAGTTCCTTTTTGAGCAGGATGAACTTGAACTGAAACTAGCTGATCTTTAAATTGAGCTTTCCATGTTATTGGTGGGGGGGGACATAATTGTTGCTGCTCTCTTAAGGAATGTGATGCTCTGGTTAAATCCTTGCAAAGCTTCCTTTCCTCAGCTGAATTGCTTTCTTTTTTAAATCTCTATGATGTCACAGCTTCTTCTTCTGAGCCAAAAATAAGGTTGCTGTGGTTACATGTACCGGGGAAATTTCAGAGTGATGAGCTCTAACTTTGACTCATCTAAAGCAACATGTGAGCCTTTGTGTGATATTTCTGTCATAGACTGTGCTGTACTTTCAGAACAGGATATAAAACTGAACAGATAAAGTGGTTAAAGCTTGCCTTCTGATGATAAGCAAGCTCAGAGACAATGGGGACACACAGGAATTCAATGGTATTTCCTCCTCCCATTAATTCCATTCCTATTTTGAACAGTGATTAGTCTAGGCTATGGATACATAAAAGCCAAACGGGGGGGAAAGCAAGCCTTATGAAAAACCTCTTGTGGTTCTCTCAGAGTTAGGATCTCTCAGGAGCTCCTAAACGGCAGGAAGGAGGACTCACTAGCTGAAGCAAGAGGAAAATGTGATGCCTTGTCCTGTATTGGAAAAGAGAAACCTGAAGCGGCCTTCTGGGCGTATTCCGAAAGGCTGAATAACTTGGGGGTCTAAGAGGAGTCTAGTTATAGTCTAGTTATATTTCATCAGGCATTAACCTAGATTTGCAAGATGATCTCATTAATGTCTGGAATGGGCATAAACAGTGCTTGGAAAAGTTACTTTTAAAAATGAAGTAGATCAAGTTCAAGTTCCTCCTGTCCAAAACAGAACCAGTTCTTTTACAAAGCCATCTAGTTCACTTCAAGTTAATCCAAGTAAGCATTTGAGTTATAAAATGTTTGTCTTCTGCAAAAGAAAACACAGCATTCAGAATGTCACAAGCAACTGTCCTGGAATCTAGAGTCCAAAAGTGGAAGTAATAAGATGTCTGAGAGACAGAATTTCAACAGGTGAAGCTTACCTCATAAGCTGACCATAATCAATCATGTCTACGCTGTTTAATTTGTGTTGGCAATACAGCTGTTAAAATGCACAAAGCATAATTCACTTTGTTAATAGAACTCTACGTCTCACTTCAAGCTGTTCTTGTTAGAAGAAAGTGATTCTCTTCAGAAGAGAAGACACAGGAAATGCCTCACATTCCCTCCTTTTGTTTGTTTAGCCACAGTGATTGACAGTAGCAACAGCAGCTCCTCCATACCTGCCTAATAAGCCTTAGAATGTTCCTTTCATGTTTTGTTTTATACCTTTCTTTTAAAAAGTGTGTGTGTGTGTGTGTGTGTATGTATGTGCGTGTGTGCGTGTTGTGTACACGCTCTAAGAGTCCAGGCCGCCTGCTGGGTTGGGGGCAGTAGCCATGAAGATGAACTAGAAATCATTCATAGTTCTACCCCCAAATGAATTCTAGTTCACCTATACTAGTTCACCAGCACTTATGAGAACTGCTTTTAGGTGTAGAGTGCTAGTGTGCATAATGGTTAGAGGAACAGACTATGACCTGGGAAACAGGGCTTCAAATCTTCCCTTGGCCATGAAGCTCACTTGGTGGCCTTGGGCCAGTCACTGCCTCTCAGCCCAACCTGCCTCATAGGATTGTTGTGGGTATTAACTGAGGAGGGGGAAACCATGTACACCACTTTGAGCTTCAAAGAGAAAAAGGTGGGGTATAAATGCAATAAATAAATAAAATTTCATTCCGATGAACTAGTTCATACCAAGCACTGGACACAGGAATAACAAAAGACACAGGCAGTTAGTTGTTCTGAATCATTATGGATCACAGCCATTATAGTTCCCACTACAGAGCTGTTGCAGAATCACATGGGTATCTTAGCCAATCAGATCGTGTGACTGCTGCAGGAGTTGAGCTTGAATTTCTCAGGATATGCAAATGAAGGTACTTACTTTAATGAGATGTGCTTACTGGAGGGAATCCATTACTCGCAAGGGATAATTAATAGCCAAATTAGAGGCATTACCTGCATTAGATATGGCACTGGGTTCCAGGGGATTAATTAGGCTTATGCATGCTGTTCATGTTTGTGCCTGCATGCCTATAGCTTTGGATCAGTTTTCGGCTTACACAGCAACTGCTTTCTCTGATCCACTACCTGCTTTCATTTCTCAGAGGAAAGATACACTGCGCACATAGTTTCAAGGCATGTGCAAAGTTCCAGTTCAGCCAAGCTTTCCTGAGATGTTTGCCAGTCCATTTCCAATTCTGTTCCTTCTGAATTATACTATTGGGTTTGCCACATTTAAGAGAAAAATATGTAAGCACACAAATACAGGAGTAAAGACTTCTCCTTTTCTTAATTTGTTCTGACATTTAACCTAACCTACACTGACTGCAGCTTACTCCAGAAGGACCGAGATCTGCAAATGTTCTTGAAGGAATGTTTAAAATGCCCTCTGGAATCATTCTGAATTTGTTTCACTTCTTTGCAAGCCTGTATATTCTTGGGGGGTGGGGTCTTGGGGGTAGGATGCATATATTAACAATTAATTAATGCCAATAGGCATGTGGGTGGAATTATACTATTTATTGGATAAAGGTAAAGGTAAAGGGACCCCTGACCATTAGGTCCAGTCGTGGCCGACTCCGGGGTTGTGGCGCTCATCTCGCTTTATTGGATGAGGGAGCCGGCGTACAGCTTCCAGGTCATGTGGCCAGCATGACTAAGCCGCTTCTGGTGAACCAGAGCAGCACACGGAAACGCCGTTTACCTTCCCGCCGCAGCGGTACCTATTTATCTACTTGCACTTTGACGTGCTTTCAAACTGCTAGGTTGGCAGGACCAGGGAACGAGCAACGGGACCTCACCCTGTTGTGGGGATTCGAACCGCCAACCTTCTGATCAGCAAACCCTAGGCTCTGTGGTTTAACCTACAGCGCCACGCACATCCCATTGATGTTATTTATGTTGGGATACTGCCAGGGAGATAAAGTCCATCATGGCCCCAAGCCGTCTGCCGGACGATCCATCGACCTCCCGTAGGCACGCAGTATCATCAATTAGCGACATGAGTTTCTAGAAGATTTCTTGCCACATTCCAGAGCTCATGCACACTCTATCAGCAGATAATGCACAGCCAAAAGTTGCAATCAGGAGAGCATTATTTACAAGTTTATTCAGCGTTGATCAGAACACAGAAAAACGTGACTGCCTGCTTTAGTGTCTGCGACACAAGAGAGAAAACGAAAGCAACAGAAAACATAAACATCCTGTGAACAGGAAATACGCAGACTCTGACTCACAAAGCCTGCTCCCTTTTAAGGTGGAACGGAAATATCCTAACATCCTCCCCCTTTCCGTGTAACCTGTAGTACCTGTGGTTCAACCCAATTGCAACCTTTGTACGTAAACCTTAAGTTGTTCTCTGTTAACAACCTTAGACAACAGATCAGCAGGAATTTCATTTCCTGGCATGTAGGACACCTGAATGAGTCCTTTCTGAATACACTCTCTTGCACGATGTAGCTTAATCTGCAAGTACTTGGTCCTTTGCTTGCAACTCTCCGAGTTCAGCAAAGCCAAACACGATCTATTGTCTTGATACACTTGTACAGGACATTTCACAGAAACTCTGATGTCCTTAAACAGTTGCATCAACCATTCACAATCCATGAGTGAAAATGACAGAGCATTGAGTTCTGCTTCACAGGAACTTAGGCTCACTGTCGTCTGCTTCTTGCACAACCAGTCAAACAGACAGTGGTTGTACATGTAGCATACTCCAGAAGTGCTTGTACCATCCGTGGTGTCACTTCCAAAACTTGCATCTGCAAAGATTTCAAGACCTCCAGTCTTCTGACTGGTGAACCTCAGCCTGTAGTGCAAAGTCCCTTTCAAATAGCGGGCTATGCGCTTCAGAGCTTTCCAATCCTGAACAGTAGGATTGTTGGCATGTCTGCTAAGCAGGTTACAGCTTACAGCTATGTCAGGTCTTGAGCATCTAGCAATGAAATTCAACTTGCCTAGAATGCATCTGTACAGCGTTGTGTCAGAAAACGCTTCAGCAGTACTGTCTACCTGGTAACCTGTCACCATCGGTGTGTCTGCTGGGTTTGCATCAACCAAATTCAACCTGGTTAATACATCAGCAATTTTCTGTGTTTGGTGTACCAGAAAATTACCTGCTTGGTCCCTCTCCACCTGCAGAGAAAGATAGTTGGATACCTCACCAAGATCCTTCATGTCAAAG